ACTGTAAAGGGTTCGGCTGTCGTGATCATAGTGGAACGTCGAAGGTCTCGATTGAGATACTTCGACCATGGATTAGTCGGTACTAAATCAAATAGTACCGGATACCACGTAAAAATCGTGTTCTCGTAGTGTCAATTTAATCTCGCTTAAAGTTGCTTGGTGTAGTTGGTTACTCTGTTTTGCAGGCACCTCGGACGAACAGAGGAGGCAGTCGAAGCACAGGGTTGAACCAGAGTTCATCTGATTAAAGAAACAAGGAGCGGGCTTGGAATCAAACAGCGGGCCTGACGCGGGCTGAAGCCCATTTCTCGTTTACATTATTTCGGGCCCATTCAATTCAGTAATTGTTTCTTTTGTTATTTTGTCACTGACGTTTTGCTATCGACTTCAACCATTCCCAATTTGATTTTCGCAGAACTAAATTAGGGTTTCCTTCGAGAGAAGCAGGAGAGAATCTCGCGCTCGATCCACCAACACTCTTCGTTCTCTCCTCATCACTCTTCGTTCTCTCCTTCTTCTCTCCCGACGACCTCCCCATTCCCCCACTATCGGCCGCTGTCGTGAAAAGTAGTTTTTGCCTCAAATCTTGACGGCCTCTTTTCTGCCCAGAAAACATAAACCCAAAAAATTCAGAAACAAAATCGTCGCCATCTCTTCCTACCATTTTCAGATCAAACCCCAAATCACACAATCAAATATCCAAAAACCCATAAATCCCTAACTCTCCAGATCGGCCTTCCTTCCTCGATCTGTGAGTCTGAGACAGAGGAGACGATGATAAAGCCAAGAAGCCCCAAAGATGTCGTCGTTCTTAGTGGTGCGACCCAGATGGCAGATCAAGCGACCAAAATCCCAAAATCCCAAAATCTCCCACAGACCAGCATCGTCAGAAGCCGCCATGCCATGCTAGAGCGAGAAGAGGAGAGAAGAGGATGAGCGGTTGTCTTTGCCGCCAGCAAGATGATGAATGGTTGCCTTTGTCGAAGCCGGAACGGAGATGGAGGAGTGAATCGGGGAGACGAGCCGGACTGAATTGAGGGGTGACTCGACAGAGGGTGGATCGGCTGGATGGGTGTGTTCGTCGATGAGTGTTGTCGTCGATCTGGAGTGATGGCGGAGGAGTTTCGATGAGAAGATTGGATGTACATCTTGTGGAAAGAAGAGAAAAGGAAGAAGGTGGAGGGTTTCAGGGAGAAGATTGAGATCGATTCTTGCGGAGCTAGAAAGAAGGAAAAGGTAGATGAAGGCGTAGACGACATTAATTTTATCGGTGAGTCCGAGACAGAGGAAGAAGATGGGTAGAGCCGAGAGAGGACCCAGAGTGGAATCGATTCTATCAGCGAGATCCTAGGGATGGATTCCAGGTTTTGAATTGGGTCATTTTGAGGAGGCATCATTTTTTGGATTTACTGGTCGGAGGTTGAAGATGATGGTTAGAGGGCTTGGGTGAATGAAAGGGTGAGATAGATAGAGAGAGAGAGGTTGGACCGGAGGGGAGAAAGAGACAAGAGTGGGAGAGAGGTTTTGTTGGTGAAGATGAAGTCAGGGGAAAGAATATGAAATAAAAAATTTTAAAAAATAATTTTTTAAAAAATTAAATTTTTAATGTGATGTGGCATCCCACCTGTCAATGGATGGTGAGGTGGGAAGGAAAGACATGGTGAGGTGGCAACCACATCAACTTTCCGTTAAATAGACTAACGGTGTCATTGACACTGTCAAATTATGTAACGGAAATGGCTATATTTGTCATCGAACTTTCAAAAATCTGGCTATTTCTTGTATTTCTCAAAAATTGGCTATATTTGTCACAACCGTCAAAGTTTTGGCTATGCAAGTGAATTTTGCCTTATATTTATATACATACTTGTTTAATTTGGATAGATTTAAAATTCAGGATTCCATTTATATGAAATTTAATTGTTCTAGTATTATGAAACACACAAATAAATTCGACTATGTTGGTCATAGATCATTGAAAATCTCCAATTTTATAGTCCTTATTCTAAAAAAATACTAATTCTATTAAATATGTGTACAAAAACCTCCAGCTATATCTAAAAGGGTTTCAACAATTTTTTCCTATCAATATACAATTATTTTCGTCATCAAATGTGTTTTATAAAACCATTGTGTGTATTAGATTTTGCTTGAGAACTATGTAATTTAGCTAGTTATTGAAATGTCACTTTTCAATTATGAGTTACAGAAAAGGTAAGGTACAAATCTAATAACTAATGATTTGATAAATGACTACTTGACTAAATATTTTTAAGAAAATTTACTTGATAACTGAATACAATGTTATAAAGATTTTTTTTGTAAATGAGACCCCACTAAACTCGAATCCTGGCTATGCCACTGTATACGGTCTATGGTCCAGATAGAGAGGCTGAAGTATAGATCAAAGACCATACCACATAATATACGGTGCAGTCTAGACCACAATAAATGATCAATGTGTTTAGTCAACCACACAAAAAATTGAATCAATTACAGAGAAAATATTATTTTTTTTGCCTAAAACATAAACTACAACATGCATGAAGAATTTTGACACCCTAAAGCTCAGTAAACAACAAAAATACAAAGTCCAAGCATCCCAATTTGATCTATAACGTCATAAACATTAACATAATGTCAAATGGAGACACGATCGTTGATACTCTTTGGTGAAATGTGGTTGTGAATGAAAAAAAGAACGAGTTTCTCAAAAGTAGGGTTGAGACTTGAGTCTCGTTGAGAGATGGGGAGAGTGGTCAGGTGGGGTGCTAACACGTATTGGGAAGTGAAGTGGGTCCATTGTTTGGTGCGGTAAACCGCGATCTAGACCAGACCAGACCAAGAGATCAAAACACCATATAATACAAACCATGGACCAGACCATTCTTACCGGTCTCTGATCCGGTTTGGTCCATGATTTTTCAAACGGTCTGACCTATTTTCCCGGCCATAAGCATCATTACTCATTCATTAGGCTCGGTGATCTTTTTTTTCTTCTCCCTCTATGATGCCTATGAATCGGGTATAGGGATGACAATTTTGTCCATACTCATGGGTATTTTACTATCCAACTCAATTGGGTTGGGTTAGGAATCCAAATAGGTGGTTAATGGGTAGAGTTTGATGGGTTTTTACCTACTGCCCATATCCATTTACTTGGGTTGGGTTTGATTTTTAACAAATGGATTTGGTTTTGTATCCATGCCCAAATGCTCAAGTAAATGTATATCCATATCCAAACCATACTCATTTAGATTGTGAAAGCAATATCCATACCTAACCCAAACTCAGCTACAAACATCAAAGCCCATACACACCTCACCCACACTCTATCCATAATGAATGAGTCTCCTTGGGTTTGGGCAAAATTACCCATGGGTGGGTAAATTGTCATCCCTAACCGGGCCGAGTAGTGCATATCCGTTACCCTACTTCAAGTTTTATCCTTACCCATATCCATGTAAGAATATGGTAGATAATCAAAATCATGTCCATATTCGTTTGGATTTCAGGTATCTACGGTTATCCATGAGTACTAATTTTTATATATAACTTCAACCAACATGTTAATGTTCACACATATACTCACGTTACATAAGAGAAAAAGTATGATAATAAATCAATAGAATGAAGAAAATTAATTAAGACAACACAATTCCATGAAAATATTATACTTGTATATGTTAGAGGAAAATAATAATAATTTCTAGACAAAATACATATGCATGTGTATAATGTGGTGGGTTCGAGTTGGATAGTAAGATAACTATCCTCACCCATTACCCGCAATATTGGGGTTCGGGTTTTACCCATACTCACTAAAAATATTTCGAGTTCGAGTTTTATCCTACCCGATTAGGTCAAATTCGAGCGGATATCCACGATTACGAATATTTTTGACATCCCTATATTCCACAAAGATAGTTGGTAAAAGAAATACAAACGTTTATTAAAAAAAAAGGAAGAAGAAATGCAAATGCAGAATGTTCACAAAATGTAGAGTATAATTAACATTTAAGTGAATATTCTTTAATACATTTCATAAGAATAAAATGGCATAAACACAATCAACACAAAGGATACAAAGCACACCAACTACTTGGAGTGGTTTCACCATGTTGCTCAATTTTGAGTGACAAAGAGTTTGATCCACTAGTGTTGAAGGGATTCACAACTTTTCCTTCTTCATAACTTGGAGGAATTCACGAAGGAGCAATACAAAATAGTGATTATTTGGAGGAAAAGTCAATTTAGTAATTGTTCTCCCAATTTTAGGTGAAAACAATATTTTTTCTTATTGAGCCTCTTTTCCCCTTCAAATTAATTACTACAGTTTTCATTTACACCCTTTAAATTTTTCTTCCTCTCCAATTTTCTCCTCCCTCGTTCCTTAACAGAGGGTTAATTAACACCTAAATATAAAATACAAACTTATATCATATTTATAAAAATAAAAAAATTTGAGGGACAAGTTTAGCAGTCATTTCTGTTGCGACTCATAGTTGATTGACCATTTGTTTGTTCTTAATCCCACGCTAGTGGCAGACATGCAGGAACATCTAGAATCAGCAGAAGCCATCCAGCCCCAAAAACCAGTCACAAAAATCCCATCAAACTTCCATAGTCATCAGCTAATCACATGGTTAATTGGTTCCAATGGCTACCCATTTGGCCATTTCTGAAACTTTAATAGCAAGACTTTTTGTTAACAAAAAGCCCACTGCTATGTTCCTCCTGGCCTGAGTAATAATTGCAGGCAGCAAGATGAACTGCGAAGAAAACAGGACCACCCATACTGTTCAGTGTTCACTGGCCACCACCATTTCTCTCCTTAGTCATACACGATTCCCTCTTCCTCTCTCTGTAACTGCTTCAAAATGATTCCCTATCATCAGCCCCATCCAGTTGCTTTCTCAGCTTTTTGGCACCTTCTTCAACCTTCAATCAATTATTGCTTTGGCCTCTATCCAATTAAAAGAAGGTTCACTTTTCCCCCCCTTCAATCTCACCTTTTCTTCATAAAGGGCAACAATGAAATTATAGAGAGTTATAACCCACAGTACCAGAATTGCTTTTTCTTCTTTCTTTCATTCTGCTCTCAATATTCTCTAGCTTGCATTAATGGCTCCTTCTGCAATCCCCTTTCCTCTGCTCTACCTCTCCTTTGCTGTATTTGCATCACTGCTACTTGTTCCTCCAGCTGCTTCATCTTCAACCCCTAAGCTGCCAACTTTTCCCCCCAGCTCTTATTACCATCACTCACTGGCCCAAAGGGCTAAACACTCAGCAGCTAGGCCAAAGCCAAAGCCAAAGCTTCTTTACACTACCCACTATTTCCCTCAAGTTCTTGACCACTTCACTTTTCAGCCAAAAGGATACAAGCTCTTCCCCCAAAAGTATCTATTGAACTCCACTTTTTGGCATAAAGGAGCTCCGATTTTCGTGTACACTGGGAATGAAGGTGACATTGAGTGGTTTGCTTCCAACACTGGCTTCTTGATGGATGTTGCTCCCAAATTCCACGCTCTCCTGGTTTTCATTGAAGTAAGAAAACTTTTATAGAAAAAAGGTTCCAACTTTGTGAACTTACAATGGTGAATTGTCCATTTTGCTTGATGGGTTTTCTTGTGTTTTTGGTTTTTGTTTGCAGCATAGGTTTTATGGGGAGTCGATGCCGTTTGGGAATGGCTCATATAAGTCAGCAGAGACACTAGGGTACTTGAATTCACAGCAAGCATTGGCTGATTTTGCTGTGGTGATAAGGAGCTTGAAGCATAATCTTTCATCTGATTCTTCACCAGTTGTGGTCTTTGGTGGCTCTTATGGAGGAAGTAAGCGAGAACTGAGAAACCCATTTCCCCAGAAAGAATGTTGTTTATGCCTTTATAAATGCTTCCCTCTTTGGTGTTGACAATTAAATTTTTTACTGTTTAAAATAACAGAACAGCCACTTTCTTTTGACTCTAGAAGCTGCTTTTAATGCTTCCTTGTACTTTGATGAAGCTTTCCCTTACTTTGGGCTTCCTACTGAATGAACATGCAGTGCTGGCATCTTGGTTCAGACTGAAATACCCTCACATAGCCATGGCTGCATTGGCATCTTCAGCACCTATTCTGCAGTTTGATGACATTACTCCATGGTCCAGCTTCTATGATGCTGTTTCTCAAGACTTTAAGGTCTCTAGTCTTACCTTTTATTCTCAGCTATCTTTTATGCTCTTTATTGGTGTCTTCTTCGTTTGAAGCTATGCCTAAAATGAGAACATGAATGATAGGATGCAAGCCTGAATTGTTATGAAGTGATTAAGGGCAGCTGGGATGAGCTGGAGGCACTTTCAGCACAGAAAGAAGGATTAGCTGAAATAAGCAGAACTTTCAGAGCTTGCAAGTGAGTAGTCAACACTATTGCCTCAATTCTGTTAAAGCAGTTGCATACTGAGCTTGAGGCACTTTCAGCACAGAAAAAAGGAACTTGAGCTAGCATTTGTGAGCGATGTGTTATGGTATCACTTGCAAAGATTAAATTCGTTGTTTTTTTGGTTCTAAAGAAATGTGCAGTCAGTAGATCCAGTTTGGGACTGGTTATGGTCAGCATATGTATACACGGCAATGGTGAACTACCCAACTGAGGCAAATTTCATGATGCCACTCCCTGCTTACCCTGTGGAGGAAGTAAGCAAACTGTATTATCTTATTTGATGCCAAACTCTTCAGCTGTTCAGAGGGTTGTTCCAACTCAACTTTGGTCTTTGTGTGATCAATAGATGTGCAAGATCATTGATGGATTCCCAGCCGGAACCTCAAAGCTCACGAGAGTGTTTGGAGCGGCCAGCTTGTACTACAACTATTCTCAAACCCACAAGTGCTTCGAGTTGGAACATGCTCCTGATTCTCATGGCCTGCATGGCTGGGATTGGCAGGTGAGCTGAGAAAAAAAAGTATATGGAAAGTTTGAATCTTTTCGTCATCTTCATTCATGGGATTGATTCATTTGTTCACTATCCAGGCTTGCACGGAGATGGTAATGCCGATGAATCGAACAGAACACAGCATGTTCCCTCCATCCGGGTTTGATTACAAAGAATTCGCTCAAGAATGCAAGCGACAGTTCGGGGTCATGCCTCGCCCACATTGGATCACTACTGAATTTGGTGGCAAGGTAGTAAATCCTCTTTCAAATGCAACTTCCAGTTCCTAGTTAGCAGAATGTAAAATCGATCAAGTTCCATCTCGAACGTGCAGAACATCGAGCTAGTCCTGAAGAGGTATGGAAGCAACATCATATTCTCCAATGGAATGCAAGACCCTTGGAGCAGAGGAGGGTCAGTCACAAACTTCCCTTTTTGTTAACAAAATATCTGCAAAATTACTGATAAATTCTATGAGGAAAATGAACTCAACAGCTTGTTGTTTCGGTATTTGCAGTGTGTTGAAGAACATTTCTTCCAGCATAATTGCTCTCGTGACTCAGAAAGGTTAGGAGTTGGAACATTCAGATTCCTCCATGGCTGTTTATCTAAATTTCAACATTGTTTGATATTGTTCTTCATGTGTTATGCTATAGGGGCTCACCATGTCGATTTTCGGTCTGCATCTAAAGATGATCCACATTGGCTTGTGGAGCTGAGGAACCAAGAAGTTGGGATTCTGAAGAAGTGGATAAATGAGTATTATGAAGATATGAAACACTCCATGAAAGAATGAGTGAAACAGTGAAAGTTAGCCGTATGTTATATTGGGCTGAAATCGTATCGAAAATTGTAACGAAAAAGTTAGCGTTATGATATTTGGTGCTGATATCATGATTCAACCATTTCTTACTGCTATACATCGTTTGTCTTCTTATATGATACGGTTTCACAAACACAGATGGATGAAGCAAAACTTCTAATTGAGACACCAATCATGTAGGGTGGTCATGGGTCAATTCGGTAGAACCGAATCGAATTGAGATATGATCGGATACAAAGCAAAGGAAAAATGAGAATTAGAACTAGAACTAGACGAAAAGCATGTTCGATTCAATTCGATTAAAATTCAATTTCATTTCATTCTTCCTTTATACTTAAAATAATGTATAGAACCGAAATTAATTTGAACTGCATATTATATTCGATTCTATCTAAATATTCATCCTATTCGGTGCGGTGTGAACCGGATCGTAGTCCACCCCTACTGATCATAGCATGTTATTAACAAATAGCCCAGCATAGCTTTGAGCATTTACTGAGGCCCACCATGCGGCTCATTGAAGTCAAAGCCCATAACAAATAAAATAAGTAAATAACCACCGGCCCTATTTTTCTTGACTTTTTGCCCGGAAGAAGCAATTAATTATCTTCCATTTTTCCCTTAATAATTCGTCTGAACTTTGATCTATTATTTACAGCAATAGCTTGAAAGAGAAATTAGGAAACAAAAAAAGAAGGGGGAAAAAGCAAGCTTTACATTTTCATCCCAAAGGTAGATTCATTCCTTTCGTTCCATTCCACTCTTCGAGCTCGACCCATCAATTCAAAACTCCATCTTCCTCACTCGGATCTCTCTATCTCTCTTACTTCACTCTGCGCTGTCGCCATCGCCAAAAACCACCGACTCTCACAGCCAGACACAGAGGAGGCAAAACGAGTGAGAGAGAGGAAAGTGGGGGGGAAAAGGTTAAAAAGGCTCCCACTCTGCTTATTCAACGCGGCGCAATGATGGTGGCGGCTCTCGTCTCGCGTGGCTCGATACATTAGAACTGTAACACTGAGATAGGTAGATGCAGAGGTAGAGAGGAAATTTTTATAGATTGAGCGGGGGATAGCCAATTTTCGCGGGGGGGGCGTTCTTCTTGCTAGTTTTGGAGGGGAAAATGTCGAGGAGATCGGGAGCTTGCTTGAGGTGTTGTTTGGTGATATTCGCGGTGGTTTCGGCTCTGGCGGTTTGCGGACCAGCAATCTATTGGAGATTCAAGAAGACGATGAGGTTGTCCGATTCCCAAGTTTCTTCTTGCCCTCCTTGTGCCTGCGATTGCCCGCCTCCTCTGTCTCTTCTCAAGATTGCTCCAGGTAAATCTGATCCCACTTTCCCTTAATGATTTCTGTGTTTATTCATTCCGTTTTTTTTTTTTTTACATCTGGGTAGTCGTGAATCTACTGTTTTGTTCGATGGCTTTTGTGAATTTTAGCTGGGTTGTGAGCAGGTTGAGGTTTTGATATGTTGGTAGTCCTGATTCTGTGGATCTGATTGTATAATCAATGTTTCGTCAGTTGAATTCGAGAATTACATGTAGATTTGCCATTGATGCTAGGGAATTGGCATGAGCTTAGCTCTATGCAAGATAGAAATCTATGGGTACTAGTGCTGCTTTGACCTTTTTGCTTTCAATTTATGTCTGAAGCTACTGTAGTGTGATCCGAATCAGGCTGAAATGGAATGAACATCAGGGAGTTGTGATGAATAGTATTCCTTAGCTACATACTATCTCAAATTAATTTCGTCTCTGGTTTAAGTTGTCGTAAGATTAGACAAATCTTTCCATTTTCTTTCTATGCAATACTTTCAGTTTGCTAGACCAGTATTTGAACAGCTATTCACTACATCTAAGAATCAACACGAAGCTATACTGGAATCATCTGGTCACATTCCTTCTCTCCAGTTGATCCCAGCATTGCTTTTGTCAGTTCATCCCAAACCATTCTGCAGAATCTAGTTTGCAGTTATGAAGATGATCCCGTCTTTTCAATTGTTCTTGATGTTATACCTTCTATGTCAGATGTCTTTGCAATATAGAATATAACTTGTCTGGTGGGGATTTCCCACTTGTGTAACGTATTTCAATTGGTTTAGATCTTCTCCCAGGCCTGGATGGGAACAGAATTCTGAATTGTGTAATGAAGCATGATTATTTTATATTTAAGTAGTCTCAAATGATAATCAGCATTATTATAAGTTTCATCACTTGAATTGGTCATCACCATTTCTATCTTTTATCGTGTGAGCTAAACCAAGAATTTTATGCACGTAGTTCCTTCTTCTGCTGTTTGTTTGTTTAAATTGATTCCTCTACTTTTCCGTTTCAAGTACAGTCCAAAATGGCGCAAATAGAATCTAATTATTGATGACTTATGGTTTATCCTCTTTTATGCTTGCAGGGTTGGCCAATCTCTCAGTTACAGGTTAGACAGCATTCCGACTTACCAAACTTCTCTCAATTTACTCCAATATCTTGAAGCATAAATCAGGCACATCTGTTGTTTCTGATCATATTTAGTCATCGTGTGAAGCGAATGTACATCTGTTGCATTAGGTTTTCCTATTCTACTTGCTATAACATGGACCTTCCAGCAACCAACCAACCAACCAACTACAATGTCAAAAAGTTGATTCTTTTCATGAGCAGATTGTGGAAGCAGTGATCCGGAACTGAAAAAGGAGATGGAGAAGCAGTTTGTGGACCTGCTAACTGAGGAGCTGAAGCTGCAGGAAGCCGTCGCTTTGGAGCACGCTCACCACGTGAACATCACATTTGGCGACGCAAAGAGAGTGGCGACTCAGTACCAAAAAGAAGCCGAGAAGTGCATCGCTGCAACGGAAACTTGCGAGGGGTCCAGGGAGAGGGCCGAGGCTCTGTTGCGTCGGGAGAGGAAGATCACTGCTTTGTGGGAGCGAAGGGCCCGTCAAGTTGGCTGGGAAGAAGAGTAAGTGTAGTTTCTCACCAACATGAAAGAAGAAGACTCATCTATAGCACTCACAACAATAGTTCATTGTTGCATCAATTTTTATTTTGGCAAAAAGGAAGTATTCCCAAGGCATACAAATATGGAAAATGCAAGTAGTGACAGGATGCAGGGTTTGGTAAAAGCACTTTTGTAATAGACAGATTGTTTGCATTTTTTCAGCTGCTAAACCATTGTAATGTTCACAGGGCAAAAAAGACCCTATTAAGCCATTTGGTTTATTATAGTTTAAATAGACCTCAGGGCTCAGTCTTGTATGATGTATATTGGGCGTTCTTCTCTTATATACCTTCTAATATGATTTTAGGTCAGGCTGAAGGTCTATCTTTCACGGCTCATATTTTGTCCATAATTCGATTTCGATGGATCATCATAGAAACAAAGATCTGCCAATTCGAGTTAGTTTCAACCTGAATTTGGTATCTGCTTGCGATATGGTATCGTACCAGACCGACTGAATCACAAACTAGGAACAACCCAAAAGAAGCACCAAGAAGCCTGCTCCTGGAGCATTTCTCATTGAGAAAGAAGAGGCAAGCTGCAACATGATTCAAAACACTAAAACCAGTATCACAACCATGTAGCGCGAGCTCAACATAACCAGCTAGTGAAAAACATGGATTACTCTTGGCTTTCAATCAAAGAGCAGCTACTAACTTGTTCACAGCACTATGTAAGAAATAGATCATGACAAGTCTGAAACCATAACATTCAATTCATCCTTGACAACAGAGAAAAAGAGCAAATGTTTGCTTGTAAAGAAAAGAAACAACAGCGGACTATCTAAACTGCTCATCGATCCAGCAGATAAACTTCTCTTCTTTATGACTTCTCCGATGAGTTAGGCCCACGCTTCTTGCCAAAGCCAACAACTGTAACAAAAAGGGAGAGACAGAAACATGATCAAAACACAGTCCAAGAAACTAGCTTTCAGCAGCGTCCTAATGTTATCGTTTTAGCTTTCCATAAACGACATTCTCGCTCAAGCGCAATGTTTTAGAATAAACATGCTCAAATCCATCAGGGACGAACAGCAAACATCAGATAAGTCCTGCTTTGCACAAATGCTACCCTTGATCAGGTTTGGAGTCCAATTCGCCAGCAAGCAATGCAACAGATTAGAACCTTCACCATCTAATTCTACCTTCAGAGCTAAGTTTCAACATAATCCCAATTCCCAACGTTATGCACTAATCAAAAGGGAACTAATTTCCTTCATCGAAGCTCAAAATCCAAAACAAGAGTACAAAACCCGGATCCAGTCCAATTCACCAGCAAGCAATGCAACCGAAGTCCACATTCAGAGATACGTTTCAGCTGAACCCTAATGGAATGCACTAATGAACAAAAACGGAAACTGGATCCCTTCATCGAAGCACTGAATACCAAAACAAAGACCACCAAAAGCAAGGAAGAAGAAGAGTCTTACCGGCGGTGACGAAACGCCTGGTGTACTGCATCCTCTTGTGGGCGCGGCCGCGTGGCCTCTTCTTCTTCTCCTGCTTCGCGACCTTGGGTGTTTGGCCTCTCACCTTGCCGGCACGAGCCAGAGATCCGTGAACCTTTCCTGCAAAATCGATCGAAAACGGCAAAACCTTATCAGCAGATGATTCCAATCAAACGGAGTAGAGAAGATCGGAGATCTTCCGATCAGTAAATCAGCAGCTTGAGAAGCTTTACCCATGGCGGCTTCTTCGTTGGCTGACGGCTCGCTCTACTCTTTGCAGACCGCTGGCGCTTTCGGAGATGGAAGGGTTTTGTGCTCATCTGTTGGGCTGTATTTATATAGATAAATCTGGGCCGACTTCAGCAAGTTTGGGCTCGCGGTAGCCCTTTATCTTTGATGGGCCATTGCAGCGGCCCGTAAAACCTGACTCTTTACCGCGAGTTTTCGATAATCGTCAGCGAAACCCGCGATTTCTTTCTTTTCTTGAAAATTTCTGTTCCACCGGCGCAGCGAATTTGGACGGAACGGAATCCCTATATGGCGACGGCGAGCTCCTCTGTCTCGGCGGAGACGAAGCTGAATCTCGTGAAAGAGGTAATTTTCTTTCCTTCTTTTTTTATATTCTACCGCCATAGTCAGTTTGACTTGTGTAATCTGTCTTTGTACATATGGTAATGAGAATGGGATTTCGTTTTTGTTGATCGGGTTTCAGATCAGGACGCACGAAGTTGCAGTAGCAGAGCTCGGCCATCTTCCTGCCTCTCGAGTAAGCTCTAATTTCCCACTATTTATTTCACTTTCGTAGTGTTTTCCGGCTCAGTTTTCACACTATAACTAGTTCCTGAAGTTTGCTTCTTTGGGAGGGGGGAACTTCCAATTCTGAACTAGCATTTTACGAGATTGAATCCCATCTGGTTTTGCTATGGATTGTTCTTCAAATTCGTTGTGTAAGGCATGGAAGTTGTTATAATGGCAAAAGATTTCATCTTGATGGTCATCGTGGGTTCCCTTCTTTTGAGTGGGTTTATGATGCTTAAGGGTTATAGGTCTTGAAATTCGTTGGATATCCCTAAACCCTGATAGATTTCATGGTGAATGAGCAAGCAAAAGCATCACATTGCGGTAGAAGATGTTCGGAGATTGTTCTTAACATCGATTGATGGTGTTGTGTTTTGTGCCTGTGAACTCTATGGCAGCTTGACATAGTTTTTCATCAACGTAAAGTCCAGCTTTCTTTTAGGGAATGTTCTACATCTGTTTTGGCATGTGTTCTGCATCAAGTTCACTGACCTAGAGGTTTATAGGGAAGATGGTTTCACCATGTTTAGCACACAGGCTGCATCATGTTATACATCTGCAGAAGCTATGTGAATCTAATCTAATACCATATTATATTGAATATGCTGATTATGATTTCGTTATAGCTTGTTCCATTTGAAGCTTGGTTTGTTGGTTATTTATAGATGCTTTACTAGCATAGCTTTTGATATTTTTTTTTGGCACAGCCTGTCTACCAGAAATCTGGGAACCTCTTTTTCCGTACCACCATTCAGAAAGCAACAGCATCAGAGCAAAGTAAAACAGACTGTTTCTTTTCTCTATTCATTCGGTCTTCTCTTCTTACTTGAATACTTCCCTTCCAATAAAGACCTCATCTTGCTGTCAAATCGTGTGAATGTTTGCTGCAGAACTACTTGATTCGGCCAAAGCTAAGCTGGGGAAGCTCAACTCGTCTTGATTTTGTGATCATTCTCTTCTTTGAATCACAAACATGGCTCGCCGTCAGGAATTCGGTCTACCGGTCCTTGCTGGCTGCTTGGCTTTTCGATGGTAATGATTGGAAGGAAGAGTTCTGCGGATGTAGGCAAACCCCAACAAGATGACTGGAAGACCAAAAAGTTCTGACTTGGCTGCTACCAAAAGTGGTATAAGATTGATGTACAATTACAAACTTTCCTTTCCCTTTGGCTGACGGAAATTGGTCTAAACTTGACTGCTATTAGTCTATTACTATGTCAACACCTTGGATTGTTGTGTAAAAGAGTCTCTTTAGCTTATTGAGTTAACTAATGATTCCTGGAAGCAAATCCTGGCAATGCTGCATTTACTCTCAGTTCTAGACCTTAGAGGTGATGAACTTTACCATTATACTTAATCAAACGGTTAGATTTGATAACTAGACTATTAACTTGAAATGACCACAATCATACGCTGACAACGTACGAGACAACAATCCAACAATGTTAACACGCTCTAATTGCGCCCCCTATCAGAGTATACTACTGGGTTGGATTGCAATGGTGTCTTTTCTGCACTTAAAAAGCCAATTTAATCTCTGTGGCATGTGCTTAGAAAGCCAACACAGGTAAATGATAGACTGCCGATCCCAATTATGCCTCCATTAGAAGCTGACAAGCTTCATATTTAGAACAGCTCAAGGATGGGACAGGCAATGAGGCAGCAGCCTCTCAACCTCTCCAAAATTGGACTCTCTCTAACTGAGAAACTCTGTCCTTTGCCTTCGATTTTTACCAACCATGGCCGAGCCAATCCAGTAACTTGTATTGTTTGATATATTATATATTGTAGCTGCTTAGGACACATGTGAAGTGTATATCATTGATAAGATTCTGCTGCAGATTGATAAAACCCATGATGAATGCTAATCCTTGATGATAAGATGCTGACAGATGTGTGAATAATTCAAATCACTCAACTATTGAGGACGTTATTAATTAGGGTAAGAAGGAAGAAGGTGGTAAATACTCCGTTTAATACAAGTATATGTACACATACATATTTTATCCGTTTAAAACTTTCGTATTTGTATTATTGTCAAGCTGTTTCATTTTTTCTCGCTTATTTGATGGCTCCCGTACTGAACACGTATAAAACTCGTATAACGCGTTTAATATCCGTATATAATGAATTAAATTATTAATTTTAATATTATTTATAAATTTATTTATTGTTAAGATAATTATATTTATATATTTATGACTATTAACGTACTATTAAACGTAACATTAGATTAGAGACGAAGTAAAATATCTATACGTATTTTATACATAATTTTCCCGTATCGTATTTTACTAACTATGAATAAGATAGATACCAGGGAAAGTAGAGTCGGGAAAAGAATTACTGAGAAGAATTAGTCGAGACATTTTGGAGAATTCGAATGGTTGATTCGTTTCATTTTGAAATTAACAAAATCTCTAAAATTAGAGAATTCAATTTTTTGCATATACGTGTATTTCATCAAATACATTTAGTTACTTGAAATTTCTTGAAACCCCATGTATATAAAATCTAATTAAATGTTGGAGATTGAGATATAGAAATGCCTTATGTTATAAACTGTAAGCCTCGCCTCGCCTCGCCTCACTGGCCTAAATTGTTTCTGGTTATCCAAATTCACCTCGTATTTATCATAAAGTGATTGTGATTCAACATTATCATAATAAAATATCCACACGCTTATTTTTTCGAATTCGTTAATTTTCCCCTTATTGTAATACTTCGTTTACAATAATAATTATAACTTAATTAGAACATAGTTTTAAGAAAATCTCTATCTCATTTGTATAACACAGACTCTCATGATTTGAGCCATCACAAATCCCCAAAGGAAACCCTAATAATCAAGACCTAAAAACGTGCAATTGACTCAAAATTCTTCTACTTTGGAGAGTCTTCCAAGATTCAACCCCCAAAAATGACCATGACCACAGACCACAACCACCAATTTGACTTTCTTTCTCTCCAAACTCCATCAGTTTAATTGCCCTGAAAATCAGTCAATTACCACATGCCTTCTTCCCCACAAGAAATTAAATTAAAAAAACGCGGTTTCAAAGACTTTTCCCTCCATCAGACCCACAGCTGTTCATGTCTGCTCTGTGGGTCATAATTTTTTTATTAATTAAATTTGGCATACAGTAACTAAAATATAATATATGATTCTCTATGTACAAATCCAAATCCTTTATCATTATTATACAATATTTCAGATCGTAAGCCAACACAAGAAAACTTATATAGAATCAGTCAATTGGTGTTGTCGCCCCCTCTCCCCTTTAGGATCTAATCCAAGAAGAAAGCAAGAAGCTTTTTGCATAAAACACATCGTCATCCAAATTTCTTCCTTCCACCTTCACTACCCAGATCGCCTAAATATAGCAGCTTTTGTGTTTTTTTCAATTTATAATTTCTGGGTTTCGTCTGAGGTTTGAGAAAGCTCTGAACTTTCTGATTCTCCGTGGAAGTTTCTTTCCTGGGTTGTGTGTAAAAATCTAGGCTAGATTTGGGGGGAATTTGAGAGAACTGTGGTGAGAAATGGATGGTTCGAGAGGGAGGAGGGTGGAGAAGAGAGGTTATGAGCAGAGTGTTGAAGATGAGAGTGATCACTTGCCTGATTCGAAAAAGCCCAAAATGCCTGCTTTAGCAAGGTAAGTTAATTGCTGTTTTTTTATTTATTGGTTGATTTTTGGACTATGGTTTTGAGCTGGATTTTGTAGGCCAGGTGTTTGTTTTTTGGCTTGAAAGAGGGGAAATGATTGGTTTCTAGACATAGTGTGGATTTGGGTAGCTTCCTGGTTGAGTTCTGAATCTGTTGTTTGGAGAATCTGATAGTCTTTATGGATTTGATTCTAGTTCGGATTGTTAGTATGTGGATCTGATGCCCAAATGTTTGAGGATACTAAAGGAGTTAAGAGGTTAGTGGAAAGTGGGCTACCAGAATTTCAGATGGCTTGGTTAGTGTATGGACCATGTGGGATGAAGCTTTTAGAGTTGAAAATTGAGGCTACAGACACCATAGTCTGGTGTTGCTTAGTTTGGATTGGGAAGTGCACAGAAGTTCAGTGTCAATATTGCTGATCATCTGCAAATGAAATGCTTTATCCACCATGTAAGCAATGTGATTTCGAAAGCTCTGAAGGTTGACTGATCATGGGTACATGATTGAGCCTTTAATTTTGTGGATCTGATGGGGAATTCTGGTGAGGTGGAGAGTTTAGAGGTCTGGGGAAACTGCTATTCAGAATCTAGGAATAATCCACTCAGAACTGAAACCAGAAAGGGGGAAACTAAAGGTTTTCTTGGTAGTACTTATCTTCACTTTGTCCTGGATTTTACAGTCAAGTGTGCTGATCATTGCACGTATTATGCAGTGTGATTGTGGAAGCTTTGAAGGTCGATAGTCTGCAAAGACTATGCTCATCACTCGAGCCTCTCTTTCGTAGAATTGTAAGCCCAAATCTCTAGCCTTTGATTCTATCGATGGTCTCTTGTATCACTTTCATCAAGTGTGTGCCTTTGTTTATATTTAGTCTTGGAATATTGAATGGACAGGTCAGTGAAGAAGTTGAACGTGCTCTCTCAAGGATGGGAAGTGCTACATTACCAGGAAGGTATGGAACTTAATACTTTTTGTTCCTATTCAAGTACTGAAACTTTTGAGAAGTTATATCTGCATTGTCCTGATTTATGATGATCAAGATTTCTCCCGGTACAGGTCGCCACCACCAAAATTAACTGGTCCAGGAGGCAAGAGCCTACAACTTCATTTCCGGACACGGATGCCACCTCATCTCTTCACTGGCGCGAGAATCGAGGGAGAACAAGGAGCAGCCATCCATGTTGTCCTGATAGACTCATCCACAGGCAGTGTCGTCCATAATGGACCAGAATCAGCAGCCAAATTGAATGTCGTGGTTCTTGAGGGCGACTTCAATGAGGAAACTGAGGAAGACTGGACGGCAGAACACTTTGAGAACTACGAGGTCAAGGAACGTGAAGGGAAGAGACCATTATTGACAGGCGAGCTGCAGTTGGTCCTCAAGGAAGGCGTAGGAACTCTGGGAGATCTCAGTTTTACTGATAACTCGAGCTGGATAAGGAGCAGGAAGTTCCGGCTTGGTGTGAAAGTTGCTAGTGGACATTGTGATGGGGTTCGTGTTCGTGAGGCCAAGACCGAGTCTTTTGCTGTTAAGGATCACAGAGGAGAATGTGAGTTTTTACTGAAACTGATAGAAAAGTTCTTCTCTTAGTAGCCATTGATGTTGCTTGAGACTGAAGAAATTTGTTTGAATGATGACAGTGTACAAGAAACATTACCCACCAGCTTTACATGACGAAGTTTGGAGACTGGATAGAATAGCGAAAGATGGGGCGCTGCACAAGAAATTGGTTAAGTCCCAGATTGAGACAGTCGAAGATTTCCTCCGGATACTCGTTAGGGATCCTCAGAAACTGAGAAGTGTAATGAACTTTCCTCTTCAATTCAACAATTTTTTCTCTTTTGTCTGTTCCATGTCTCTGACAGTAAATCATGATTGCAGATTCTTGGAAGTGGAATGTCGAATAGAATGTGGGAGAACACAGTGGAGCATGCCAAGACTTGTGTCTTAGGAGGAAAGCTTTATGTTTACTACACCGATGGAGCTCATAGCACAGGAGTTGTGTTCAACCATATATGTGAGTTACGAGGCCTTATATCCGAAGGACAGTTTGTCGCCCTTGAATCACTTGACCACAATCAAAAGGTCAGATCTTTTAAGAAATATTCAGAAAGAAACCAAAACAAACCAGCGACTGTGAACAATATTGATATCTAAACTAGTTTTATCCATCAATCTTTACAGCTTTCAGTGGATTCTATAGTTAAGAGAGCCTATGAGAACTGGCATCAAGTAATAGAATACGATGGCAAGGTCCTCACTGCTCTGGCAGCCAACAAGCCACCAAAGAAAGCCTTGCCTCCTCCACCTGTCGCCACGACTAACTACGACGCGCAACAACATTTTGTATCAAGCAATCAAAACAAGCAACTCTACATCTCCCCAGACCCGCCACATCCATCTCAGCTGATCGACTTCCCGTTCGTAAGGCCAGATCATCACCATCAAGCTACTTCAGCTACCATTGCCCCTATGAACAGCAGTAGTCATCATCAACAACAGCAGGCTGCAGCATTGACCAGCAGCAGCATGGACTTCATGTCAGTGGGAACACCTGGGTACCATTCAGGAGGAGACTTTTTCGCAGAGGAAATAAGGATGAGAAGCTTGGAGATGTTGGAAGGAGACGATATGCAAAGGCTGCTAAGGTCATTCGGCATGGGAATGGGTGGTGGCTTTGGGGGTGGGACAGGCTTTGGCGGACCTGGCGATGGTGGTGGTTATTCTTACAACATTCAAGGAGGTGGAGGAGGAGGGTATGAGCCTCAGATGGATCAAGTGTATGCCTCTCAGGATCGTGGAAGAAGTTCCGGGAAAGCGGTTGTCGGGTGGCTGAAGCTGAAGGCTGCATTGAGGTGGGGGATCTTTGTTAGGAAGAGGGCTGCAGAGAGAAGAGCTCAGCTAATTGAGCTTGATTGAAGAAAAGAAATTCTTCTCTTTCAATGTTTGGTGTCTAACAGTTCGAGTTAGGAGCTTTATATGAATTCTTTTTATGTTTGATTGATTCAATGACTTGTTGAGATACATTGATGAATATTTGAGGCCCTTTTTTTAACTTGACAGAGAGTGCAAGTGTGCAACTGCTTAATATTGAGATTCTTTTGTTGAAATATAGTGTTACTGTTGTTAAAATCAAAGGCAGGTTGAAGGAACTTGAAAGCTTTCTGTAGGATTATTATTTATTACCATGTTCATAGATCAAGTAGATTGATGATCATATTTGGGAAAAACTTGCTCAAGTTAGTTTGATTGATAGTGATACTCACTGAAGACGTTAAATTCAAATTTATTCACTCACTCATGAATGGTAAAGAAAAACTCACCTTATCCAATTTGCTCGTGGTAACTCCTCTGCCGGGGTATGTAATCTCAACAAAGATTCTTGAAAAATTACCATGGCATATAATTCTTAGCAGTAAAACTGTAGGAACCCAGAAAGCACACTGTTGAAGACATAATGCCATTTCCATTATTTTCCAAATCTTTTGAACATGGAGAAACTAAATCATCTGCGATTAACCCTAAAAAGCTCCTAACTTAAAACCCAAGTTGCCAACTGAAAGAAATTAACTTTGCTCTCCAGTCACCTGAACAGTACCACTAAACAGGAACCAAAGTTGCGGAGAACAAAAGGAACATAACCTAAAAAATAAGTCTAGAAATTACTAAGACCCATGATGATACAGTTAAGTCCCCTAGTGAAACCCCTAAAAAGGCCCTTTTATGCTCCATGACCAAGACTCAGATGCATGATCCGATCTGGTACGCGTCCAATCCAAAGTCTCCGTCGATGATCAGACCTTCATTCTGCTCCTGCAAAGAAAAATTAACTCAAGGAGTCAGCAAAAAGTGTGGAAAGAAATAGCATTATCAGCTACAAAGGAAGCAAGCAAAGAAGAAGAAGAAGAATTAGTTACCCTTTTGAGCATTGCAGCCACCATATCATCAAGAGGATCAAAGCTACTACTATCAACAATGAATCCATTCTGTGATTTGTCAACTTCAAACCCAGAAGGTGAAACACCATCACTCAATTGCCCAGCGGCAGAGGAAGAACCATCAAAGCTTCTCCCTTGATCCATACCATGATCAAATGACACCTGATCTAATGAATCCATGGAGTTCATACCACCAAATGAGTTGGTCAAGCCAGGATTGCTAAAGCCCTCAATCGCATTGCCAATGAGCCCAACTTGACCTGTCATTTCAGCAGCAGCAGGTGGAGGTCCAAGGCTAGCAGAACTGAAATCGATATTCGCAATCTGAGAGCTGGAGGAAGGCCCACAATCCCTCACAGGCAATGAGGGCTCATGACCAAACTGTTCACCTAATGGATTGGATGGAAATTTTGGTAGCTGGATTGCGTTATCCCAGCTTCCATTACATCTGCTGCTGTCCAACAAGTTGGGAGACAACGGTCCATGTTGGATCCCAACATCAAAAGAATCCCGATTCAACGAGGGCATACCAAGGGCAGCTGGCTGAGCTCCAAATGTTCCCCTAGTGTGATGACTATTGGGTAGCAGCATAGAGTTTCCAGAAGTACTGGTGACTCCTCCTATGCTGGGAACAAGTCCAAAACTTGGCTTGCATTGAGAAAGCGAAAATCGGCCTGGAGTTTGGGCAGTGGAGAGAAGTGATGGCTGCTGAACTTGTTGACCAAGAGTAGTGATGGAAGAATTCAGAAAAGCTTGGGAATTGGTTGGTTGGAGCAAGCCAGATGAGGCGATTCCTCTCAAGGTTAGACCAGATGAAGAGTTGAGTCGGCCAAGCAAGCCTCCTGGTTGGTATGTTGAGAGCCTTCCCGGTGTTGTCAAGCTTCGAAATTCGTCGAATCCATCGATCGATGAGGCTATGCCGGGGTAGGAGGAGCCATCTTTAGATCCATATGGGATGCCCATGGCTTTATCACAGCTCATTCTTCTCAGGTAGAGCCTGTATTTCTGTACCAAGAACTTCATATCAGGAACAAACTTGCAGTGTTGCTTAAATATATCAACAAAAATTCTATAGTATTCCTGACACGTGACTACCATTCCACTCTAACATGAAAATTCATAGTACAAACATTTTCTAAATTAATAAATGAAAAGAAATAGAATGGCACCACTATTTAATGGATCCAAATAAAAAGGTATGATGAAATTAGCAAAATAAATAGAACGAGAGTAGAACGAGACAGAACAAGTTACCATAAAGCACAATCATCTTACGGTAATCAAGTAATACGCAAACAAATTCACTTATGGTCAAATAGGTGAGGTCGAAATTTGACATTCTAATTACATCTAGGATGACATGAAAAGATTTGATTACCTGAAGATGACTAGCTACATTCTCCCTTGTGAGTCCATCAACATTCATCAGATCAAGAATCTTCTTAGGAACAGCCTCTGCACACACACACACAAAAATTGCAACAGCAAATCAATCAAGCCCTGATCTTTTCAGAAACCAAAAACATTCCATGATCCTAAAATCAAGAGACTTCGACATCAAACATTTGAGAATCTTACTGTCATATCCCAGCTGATTAACAGCATGAACAAACTTCTTATGCAGATCAACAGACCACACAACCCTAGCCTTCTTCTGGTTCCCTCCTTCCTCATTCTCCCCTCTTCCATCACTATCCTCATCTTCTTCCTCCCCCTCCTCATCATCCTGATCTTTCCTCTTCCTGCTTGATCTCCCATTAGCGTCGGAGCTCTCACTCGATCCGACACCACCAACAACAACCCCATTGCCATCTCTCTCAACCTTATTAGTCAAGCTCGACGAATCGCTCCTCTTCCCTCCCGTTTTCTTCTTCCTCACCACATGCTGCCATATGTTCTTCAGCTCCTCGATTCGAACCGGCTTCAGCAGGTAGTCCACAGCACCGTGAGTCACACCCTTGTAGACCAGCTCCTTGTCACTGTGAGCAGACAGCACTAGTAGAGATCCAACAATTGAAATCGCAATTAGGGTGAATTCGAAATTGTGACGTGAGAAAGGGGGAAACTTTTTCAGGGGAGGGCTTGCTTACTGATTACTGGAATGTCCATTTCGAATTCGACATGCTCCAGCAGCTTGAACCCGTCCATGTCTGGCATGTTCACGTCGCTAATCACCAAGTCAAACTCGTTTCTCTTCTCCCTCAGCATTTTGAGAGCTTCCAGCGCATGATTCGTCACCGTGACTGACAAAGAAAGATAACAGATTCGTGAAATTTTGTGTAATTGCAGAGGGTTTGGGAAAAACAGGCCGCCATTAACAGATTGACAGAAATTTGGAAGTGGGATGAAATTCTAATGAGCAAATCCAGAGTATTCTGTCAAAGAGAAAAAAACAGAGATGGGTTGGAGAAATTGGATTGTAACCTTGATACTGGCATCTACGAAGGAGATGTCCGATAAGCCGGAGACAAACCGGGTCGTCGTCGACGGCCAGAACCCGCAACCCGGACGGGAAAAACTCACGGCCGAGAGAAGCAGAGCTGCCTCCGCCGGCGCTTACGTCCTCCGCCTTCATTACGAATGGGGAAAAGGAGAAGGGGAAAAAACAGAGCAAATTCCCAAACAAACAAAAGAAACAGAGATAACAAACCCCCGACGAAGAAAAGGAGCAAACTTTCCGACTAGAAGCTCCAAATTACGGCGAACTCCTGAAGGGTAAAATGAAAGCTGAAACCAAAACCCGGATGGAAAAGGATTGGAGCTCAATAATGGCTAATGGTGAACAAAAGCAGAGTAAAAGAAAATTGAAAAAAAAAACCCCAAAACGCCACGAAGGTTTTCAACTCCAACAGAACAGCAAAAAGCTAAAATCCCCTCTCCCCCCTCTCTCTCTCTACACTCTGTATTTGTCTTTAGCTTTCTTTTCTGTTTCCGGTTTTCTTAGAACACAAACAAAAAAAGAAAACAGAGCAGCGCTCCACACTCGCGTCTCTCTCTTCTTCTTCTTCTTTCTCTGGATTTGTTTAACTCGATAATGGAGATCCTCTTTTTCCCCCTTTTTATAATTAATAAAAAGGCAAGGTAATTAAACCAATTAAACAGTAATTTTTGTTTCTCTCTCCTCCAGTAATTAAATTAATAACCGATTTTGTAAATTAAGAAATCGGATTGTTTTGCTGACTTCTTTAGTTTTAATTTTCGCGCCTTTTTATAAGTAAAAAACATTCTCGCGCCTTGTTTGTCGAAAATGATTTCGTGAGTTACATGTACATAACGTCATAACTCATACCTCACAACTGACTTTCCTTCGATCATGATCTTGTTTGGAGGAATCTCAAACATCCATTCATTTTAGACATTGATCGTTGTCCATTCGTGAAAGTGTGATACGATCGATGTTATCGTACAAAATGATAGTATGAAAATGATATACAAAAACGAAAGTAAAATAAAAGCAAAAATTATAATAATAACAACTCGACCATGATGAAATTTCATAACCAAACATCTGACTCGCACTTATAAGAGAATATTTGTTTAGATTAACGATGAGAGTGTTTTTTATGATGAACACAACAATAGATACTATTTCAAAAATGACATCAAAAAGTGAGATTCAAAAATGCCAATTTGGAATAGTAGAATAAAGTTAAGGTATATAATAGAACTATAGTATGTATATTAAAATGTAAGAGACCCTAGCTAGGGTTCATTGTTGTGGTAATCCTGCCAGGTAGAATGTAAAAAGATTCATTTTTCCATATATATAATTGGTTTCAAAATTTGAATTTACAAGACGTTTATGGTATTAGATATGAAATATATGATAATTATAAAACATAATCGGTATATATTTAATGGAAATTTAAGTACCAAGGATTTACATTCCAGTTTGTCCAAACAAAATTTTGGAAATAGTATTAATTAAATTACTTAAAGCTAGCAAGAACTTTTCTTCGATTGAAGCTATATGGAAAGTTTAATTACTTCACTACAGTTTTACAAAAACAGCTAATGAATTCAATTAGTAACCATTTTCATTCTTTTTTTCCCCTTTTCTTTTATGCCTCCCAAATGTGCTTACTTATTTAAAATGGTACTCAAAATACGATACATCCATAAGTACATACTTATCATACAACCAGGAGTTTTACAGAGACTAACGTTATCTTTTGATCGAATTACTGATTAACTCATTCACAAGGATTTATAGGCTTCTATCTTAT